TTTTATATAGGATGAATTCGCACGCGGACAAAACATGGACAAGACTAACGCTGACAAGCATTCTTCGCTATAGCGAGACTACCCGGGATTTATCTATGGCGGTCGGTGTATACAAACAAAATAAATAAACGTACTTTTCTCAAGTATTCAATTGGATCGCTTGCTCTATCAAATCGCGCTCCATGTTATCGCTTGCGTTGACTAATGACGTGGTGCATCTAAATCTTTTTTTATATCATTTACTTGGTCACGACATTTGTATCACATTACGTTGATGATGATGTCACTGCTCGAATATGTGACATGATGTACCATGTCAAAGATTCGTGAAAAATTTGGTCACGTGACATGTACACTTTTTATTTTTATTTGACAACGTCGCATTTATATCAAATTGCATTGATGACGTTACCGCGAAACATGCCGTCACATATTATGATTTATCGCGACATGTCCTTAAAAAATCTTTGATTAATGCTAAATCTAATAAAGCCGTCAACGCTTTATTAGATTTAGCAACTGCGAAATTGCAAACATCGTATTTTTGTTGTATTAAATTACATTGATGTCGCGAAACGCGTCAAATAATAATACGATGCGACAAACATCTAGCGTTTATAATAAAAATTTAATGTGATGTGAAATATTGAATGTGAATTATTAGTTACACTATGGATAATATTATATATATTATAGTATATGAAAAATAAACGAATATTTAAACTGTATGTTTCAGCGTTTGAAATTATTCATTCCTTCTGTCTTTATTATTTATTCTTATTATTGCGATTTATTATTTATTCTTGTTATTGCGATTTATTTATTTGTTCTTTTTCTTCCTATCTTCTTTATAGTATCATATTACATGTGCCGACAGCATCATCACGAGCGATACCATCTGACAATATCGCTGAGCTCGCTTTAAAAGTATTATTAGAATATAATTGAATAAGTACAATAGAAGTAAAAAATATGCATATATATGTATATATTTTGCGAAAATAAGTAAAAGGAATTACATAGGAAGCTGCAATGAGAGAAAAGATCATATATATATATATATATATATGAGAAAAGATCATATATATATATATATATATATGAGAAAAGATCATATATATATGCACATGAGTCACAATATGAGCGGCATATCGTATCGAGAGAAAGATAATAAGTATATAGCAAGTATATGAAATAGAGCGCACTATTGGCGGTAGCGGCGGCATTGCTCAATATCTCAATACGTATAATAGTAACATTTGATAGTCAGATGCTCTATGCACAAAAAAGGCAACTGTCCCAGAACTTATTATATCTTCTCGCAACAATACTTTTGAGAACAACGACGAATTCATAGAATCTCTGGAAGGGCAGAGTCATGCCAAACACCCGCGATTATCGATCGACAAGAGACAATCAGTATCACATGTATCGCGAGGTTCGAGAGTTTGAAGAATTCGATGCGTGGACGATTCGTGCACCCATATGAACTTCGATGATGCGAAATCGAAACAGCGTTCGAAAATCGTATATTGACAGGCGCGGTGATAACTCTAATCACATCGAGCCGCGACGGTTTTTGAAAGACTCTGGTGATGTAGTGCTCGAATGAGTGCGAGACATTATAGAAAGACATGGCAGTGTGAAGGTGAACACCGCTTCAACGATGAGTTTGTAGCAGGCGATAAACGCACCAATAAAAGTATCGCTACCCGAAACTTTGAATTCTTATGAACACAAATGTGTGCGAGTGATACGAGCGACATGTCATAGAGCTCATCTTGATATCACTGGACAAATTTCAGAATACGATAGCGGCATTGTCGTCAAATTCTCAATTTGGTAGTGAATAAGCACAATCCAATGCTCGCGGGATGTTGCTTCGAAGTGCTGCGAGAAATTGTACTTAAGAAAGCGTTAATCAACATGCGTTCGATAGACAATACAATTGATGGTAGTCGCTCTATATCCGGCTAAAAGTCATATGGATAGAAAATCATCGTCCGCATTATACTATTGAATCTCGCGAATATCGAATTTCCGATAACGTTCAAAGACCTTCCGAAATTCGAAAATCTCAACAATATATCGATCAATGTATACTATCGAAGATAAGCAGATCAGTAGTAATGCTGTGGGAGTTCTAACTCGAGAACAAGGGGAATGCGGGGCGCGGGGGATTCGGAAGTGGGGATAAGATGTCATGCAGTAAGATATCACAGATTTTGGGGACTGTAATCACGTACAAAACAACAAAAAACATCACAAAAAAGAGAATATTGAACAAAAAACAATACAAAAAAACAAATGATTGTAAAAGTGTTACAAAGGCTATTCGCCGGTATATGCTCCAACCGTTTTTCGGCCAAGATATGGCGTAATTTTTCTAGAAATAACATTTATTAATTATTTTAAATAAATACGACCCAATTTCATAATTAATCGATTGAATGCCAATATCTAACTACTATCGAAATCGATGATATTGGAACGCAATGTCTTCCTCCCTTGAAAAGAGCCTCGATCCTTTATCCTTTTTTTGGGGGGGGAGGGCATGACAATCGGCTGTCAGCGAATCACTTTATCCATTTTTTTCACTTTTTTTTTAAAAGATTACTTTTTTCAAATTTGATCATTTTTTTCCCTTTTTTGACATTTATAAATTGGAAATGTTATAATATCGCATTGATATGTCGGAGGCATTAGATTATTTATAACATATTATTTATAACAAAAGTCATAAGATGTGAGTTTCTTAGCTAAGAATTATATATATGTTACATATGTACATATTAAGCATCAACCTCATCATTTCAATTTTTTCTGTTCTTTTTCTGTCTTTTCAACGGTTTTTGTTTCAAGAAAAGACTGCGCGACTGTTGCGTCGCCATCATAAACCGCGCAATCAACTCATGAGTATTCCGCATCTACATAATACAATTACATTGGTCGATGAGTCAGTGCTATTCCGGCGAATTTATGTTTTGGCCGAAGATTTGTGATTCTATGATTTGTTATTTTAAGAATAAATGGATGGCAGTATAAAAAATACTTCAAGCATACTGTAAGTAATGAAAAAATTATAAAAATTATGATAAATGATGTCCTGAACTTTCAGTTATGTATAACCTCAAAAGCAATGTATTACACAATTTTTGCTTTAGTAAAATACTAGTTAATACTAGAATTGTTTTGAGAACTAATCGCGTGCTTGAACAGAAAGCTTATCGAGAAATACAAGAGAAATCACACAAAAACAAAATGTCAATATTTCACCGGCGATCTTCCGATTCTTTTATTGATCGGATAAGCAACAAAGACGTGATTTTCCAAAATGCGCTATTATCTTAAAAAAAAGTTGTTTTTTCTTAATAAAAAATAAATGTATAATATTTTGTCTGACATATGCATGAGATTTCACTTTTGAAGCGTAAACTGTAGCATAGAATTTCGCTTATTTCGCAATAAAATAACAAGTGCACTCAGACAAATTTTTACGGCAATGTTGATTATTTTAACAAATTATTTTTTCTATAGAATAAATTGGTTCTTTAACAAAATATGTATTGTGACAACAAGATTATTTTTCTTCTGTGTATTTTTTCATTTAATTCAGTACTATACTTAAAAATCAGGAATGTTGGTTTGAGTAAACGATAAAGTAGTAATTTTAATATATTTAATTACAAGTTAAATTCTATTAATGCAAAGGGATCTATTCACCTTTATCTGTTTATATGAACGAATATAATTTGTTTGAATTTAATATTTGATTCAACTAAGTTTTATAATAAATTGTGTAATTTCTGATGATTTCATTATTTAAAAAATAATAAATTTGTGTTACTCTTTTTAAGGTTAATCCTAAAACACTAAAATGGGCAAATGTTCAGTGAAAAATATTTAGACTGATTCAAATGGTACAATAGAATGGTGTCTGAATATGCAATTAAAGAAAATAAACATTCAATTTTTTGTAAAGTTTGTGCAACTGTATAAATTGCTCTAAAAGATTTCAACAGGATTCCCAAAAGCAGAAACATCAAGCCAATGTAAAATTGAAATTAAGTCCTGCAGCTTTACTTTGAAGCAAAAACTTCTGTTGCAACAGTTCCTAATAAAGAACAAGGCAATATGAAACAAATTGAATATTTGTTCAATAAAAGACGAAGCTATTAGAGCCGAATTTATATGAGCCATGAATGTTGTAGCTCAAAACAATTCAAGCTCATCCTGCAATAACATTAGAAATGTTGAGGCTATGTTTACGCAAATACTCCAAACTTCAATATGAGTCGAATAAAAGTTACTTATTACATTATTGAAGCTTTGCCTTTTTTCAGGCAGAAATTTTTCGATGACATATTGAAAGAAAGTGCTTTTTATTCAATACAATTTGATGAAACATCTAACGGAGGAAACAAAGAATGCCAGATTTCCATAAGATAAAATATTATACTATTTCGAATTCTTAATTTTAATTCTTATATATATTGAATGTCTTCTTTTCTTTAGGTATTGGTCTTCCACAGAAAAGGTTTCACGCTTTCTTGAAAGTTTTTTATAGGCCTTGGGACTGCAGAAATAGTTCGTGAACAAATACTGAAAGCCATCGATAATGCAAATTTACCTTTGTCGCGAATGCTGATGGTTGGGTCTGATGGACTTGCAGTAAATCAGAAAGTTTTTTGGCTATTTAAAATTATGGCTGGTCGAGATAACAATAAAAGTTACTCAACGTACGAACTTGCAATTTACATTATTTGCACAATGCGTTTGAAAAAGGGCTTTCTAAATTTGGTAAAAAAGTTGAAGATTTATCTATTTAGTAATCTGTATTATTATTTTAATGATTATCTCAGCCAAAAAGAAGATTATTGCAAAAATCGAAAAGAACGTTCCGATACATTTATTAAGCATGTGCATCACGGTGGTTAATTTTGAGACCAGTCGCAAAAAGAGTAACCGAATAATACTCGGCTTTATTGCATTTTTTTGAAACAATAACAAAAAAAATCTTCAACGAAATTAAACATCAGAATTGTAAAAATCGTTAATGATTTGAAAAATCCTTATTAGAGCAGAACTTTTATCCGTAAGTACTTAGCTATTCGAAAACTTTTGTAAACTTTTTCAAAAGCAAGAGCCTTTAGTTCCTATTTTTTATGAAGAAGTTAAAAACTTAGTTACAGTTCTGAATAAACAACTTGAAAAATCATGCCAAGCGTCCATGGCTCTCTACTGGATACAAATAATCTCTAATCGTTACAATGCACGAGGTTACAAAAACTCAATTAGAAAGACGATTTCTGCATTTTGATGATTACGCGAGCACTAGCAATAACAGTGACAATAATGTGGAATGATCTTTTGTTTGGCGAGAAATCGATGAGCAGCGTTTGAAAATCGAATTTTAACCGGTGTGGTAATTAATGCTCTATATCGAGCTGCGATGATTTTTAGAAGACATTAGCAGTGTAGTGCTCGAGCGAAACACAATAGAAAGACACAACTGTATAAAAGTGAACACGATATTTAATGGCGAATTTGCGACGGATGATAAACGTGCCAATAAAAGTAATACTAAAAACTATGAACTTTTTCAAACATCGAATTTGCGTGAGTGGTACGAGCGGCACGAATCCACGTTGGCATCTTGAGGAAGGAGTTGTCGAGAACGTGACAGTGTGTTGTCGCGAATCATGAATCTTACAATAAACATCAATAAATATAATCCAATGCGCGTGGGATGTCTTCGAAGTGCCGCGAGAGATAATGACAAAGAGAGCGGTGATTAACGTGCGATCGATGGACAATGCATGTCTCGCGTGGTCAGTGGTCGCCGCTCTGTATCCATCCGAAAGGAACGCAGATCATGAATCTTCCTACCCACACTACGATGATGCTGAATTTGCAAAATTTAGAATTTCGTATAATGTTAAAAGACGTAACGAAATTCGAAGGTCTCAACGATGTGTCCATTAATGTATACGGTATTGAGGGACAAAAAACTAAATGTTCTCCCGATACGTCTTGTTGATGACAGAAAGAGAAACATGTATTTACTATATTTGCAAGATATATCTGCGAGACGACTATGTACGTCATTTCATACGAATCAAGAATCTGTCCCAACTCATGAGCTTGCAATTGAGTAAACATCATGAGCAAAAGTTTGCGATCGGTAAGTATATGATTAATAAAAGCGAATTCTTTAAAAAAAAAAAATTAACATTATTTTTGTTTGCAACTGTTTACATTATTTCCATTCCAACGAGAAATTGCAGTCATACATGATAGATTACCGATAATGGATAAACGACTGCGCTATCCGACTATCGAGCGACGACAAGTGAGTTTTAACAACTATAATAGGAAGGAACAAGTTCCATTTGTCATTTACGTTGATCTAAAATCCTTGAGAAAATTGATAGCGATCAGGAAGCATCTGTGCGCATTATATCAACATCGTCAAGTATTTAGCATAGGTTATTACGTGCGCTGTTCTTACGACGATTCGTTATCAAAATATTGATTTTGTTATGATTGCATTTTATGGTTCATCAAAAAAACTGAGAAGTTTAGCACATCGCGTAAAAAAAATTTTAGCAGCTAATATCCCCATGGAAACTTTCAAGTGAACAGTGGGAGACATTGCGCAGCGCGACGCATTGTCACGTGTGTGAAAAGATTTTCGCGCTAGACGATAATCGAGTAAGCGATCATTGCTATTTAACCGGTCGTTATAGGGGCATTCAAATTGCAATTTAAATTATAAGAATTTATATTTTATTCCCATAGTTTTTCACAATTTATGATTCACATTTTTTATTATCAAAGAAATAGCATATGAAGACAGTATAGAATTATTACCAATAACAAAAGAAAAATATATATCATTTGCAAAAAATGTTAAAGATACTGCTGAAAGATCAGATTCGCGAAATAATAACATAAAATTACGATTCATCGATTCTTATAAATTTTTAAGTTTCGACAAATTAGCATCCTTTCTTAATAAAAATGAATTTCGAATTTTACAACGCGAATTTCAAAATTTGTCCGAAGAAGACTTTGAATTACTGACACGAAAAAGGATTTTTTCATACGAATACATTGATTGCGTTGACAAGCTGCAGGATACGTTTATCACCGGACGAATCATTCTACAGTTCCTTGACTGATGACACTATATCCGAAAGGGACGCGCACACGTGAATGTATGGCAACAGTTCTCTGTTCAAATCTTGGGTGAATATAGCGATCTATATTTAAAAATGGACATGTGTTGTAAGCCGACATATTTGAAAATTTTCGCGATAAATGTATTGAAAATTACGATCTCGACTCTGTATATTATTATACTTTATCAGGTTTTATATAGGATGCTAAAACACATAAATTTCGAACTGCTCACTGATTGCTTGCGAAGAATGACTGAGAAAAATTTATTTAAGTTAATGAATAATGCATATTTGACAAAATCATGGAGAACATGCGCAATCACATTGGTAAAATTATTAACACAATAGGATGGACGATACGACGCAGAAGCAATGATCATGAGGTCGAATTTTCACAGTAGAAATGTATTTTCTAAAAATCTAATAGCAATTGAAATTCGTAAACTTGAGGTGAAGTTCAACAAATCCTTCTACATAGGAATGTGTATACTCGATATACCGAAGGTCTCTTTGTATGAATTTCACCATGAATAGTCTTATATATCGCATCGAGTGATGACGTTTATGAACAAACGAAGTATGATGTCACTAGGTTCGACAGAAGTGATTGTTCTACTAATAATGTATATGGTATACCATTTGCGAACAAAAAAGTGTCAGGTTTAATGAAGGATGAAAATAATGGCGCATTGACTGAATTCGTCGGACTCAGAAAATATAGTTAAGAGTAGATGGTAAAAAGGACTAAAAAGGCGAAAGTCAAAAGTAATATCATAGCGCGAACTATATTTGATGTTCGATGACGTTCGATGATTACACTCGATGTTTAAACGATAAAATTGAAATGACGCGTCAACAGTTATGCATAAGATCAAAATTACATGAAGTATATAAAATATCTGAGATGAAAATCACTCTGAGTCCGTACGACAACAAATGATATATCATCGAATTCAACTAAAACATTACTATAGAGACATTCTCGAATATCTTTGTAAAAAAGATCGTGTAATATTGAAATGTAATATGTAATTGTATTATTGAAATGTATTATATTAGATGTGGGAAAAAGTTCGTGGCGTTTTTCCCGTTAGATGGCATTAAAAAAACGCTACGAACTTTTTCCCCTAATATTATCGAAATGTATAACCTTAAATAATTATTGTATATAGTATTACATTTATATAGTATTACATTATAATAAAAAAATAAAGATTTTTTTTATATATTAAATTGAAAAGATGGGTATAAATAATAAATATTATGTACATCTTATGTATTTCATATACTTTATATATTTTTATATTTAAAATTAATACATTTTTATGAAAACAGTTTATATGAATTAAACTATATTATTCTTATGTATCCAAGAATTGTGCGATGCATCGAATCCCAATCATTTTACATAAATCTCATCTCCTTTCCTGCGCAATACTTTTTCCACAAAATACACGTTCGGATAAGCCGCGCGATGTTCATAGAATGCTCTAGAGATAGATTTTCTGCGATAATCATTCAGTAGATAGGATTACGGGATCAGTATGCTATACTTTAACGATTTTAAATACCTTGGAAGTCCAATTTGATGTATAATTCTTCTTAAAGACGGTTTTATATTTGCTCACACATACCGAATCACCTATTTTGAATTTCGTCAGGACTTTACGATGCTATACTATAGCCAAGAGTTTTTCAGCGATCGTGGTGGTAATCTCGGCGGGTCGCATATCGATGGATGTTTGCGCGTGTTATAATCTGATACAAACTGCGACAACGCATTGCTCCACTTATTATTTCCGTTAAATGTAAACATCTTCCTATATTGTTTTTTAATGCGATTGAATCGCTTGACGACCGATGCTTTCATTACAGAGAACATTGAATAATGATTGATGTTATGTTTTTTCAAAAGCCATTGCATGTCAACATTGTAAAATTCTTTTTCGATATCAGTCTGTAGTTTTTTGGACATCTCTTGCCCTTTTGAATTATTTCAGCGATAGCTTCTGTCGTCTCTTCCACCTACTTTTGAGTATGGCCCACGCATACTTGCTCATAGATGACGGTGAATAGATGGCCTCTTGAAACGTGAATATGGATGTATCTCGACGATGTCAGCCACAGATCATCATATTCCCAGACTATGACGCGCCTTCGCGGAAAATTTCTTCTTGTCGGAGCGTGCAATTCCTTGACGAGCCGATGTCAGGATAACTATAGGGATTCTAACCCACAGATACAGCAACCAGCAGATGATTCTAGTGTCGCGCGGATGGAGAGGGCGAAGTTGGAAATAATAAATTCGACCTTAAAGCATACATATCAATTATCGACAGTCGAAACTCTTTTTTTGGTTGCGTTGTTGCTTCTTTCTTTGTTTTGTTTTTCTACCGCATATTTTGTACCAGAAGTTTTTTCACGTAAAATTATATTCTGTATCAGCATACTTTGTTCTCTCTTTACTAAACCCACTGTGCTCTTTTCCCTTATCCTATAAACAGGTTATGGCTCAGTGACGTTCTGAAGAGCATAATTCTGTGTTTTGCCGAGAATCGCGACAAAGAGGTTTGTCATTTAAGTTTTAAATTTGCTAAAGATATATTAGAGAAAAGGAACGAAGAATACAATGACTTTGAGTGCATTGGCGTCCATAGATAAATTAAAGGGATGTGAAAATTACGATTCTTGGAAATTCGCATTTCAACGTTATCTTAAATTTGAGGGTCTCTGGACATGTATCACAGGAGATAATAATGATTGCATAAAAAACACTCAAGCAAGATCGCTCTGTTAGTAGATCCAATCAATTATGTGCACATTCAATCTATTACAATTGGACAAGATACATGGAGAAATTTGGAAAAGGCATTTCAAGATTCAGAACTCAATAGAAGAGTCCTGGTCGAAGTAGGGCTTCGTAACCTCATCACTACAAAACTAGAGTGAATCAGTTGAAGATTATGTTAATTGTATAATTGACCACGCACAAATTCAAAGGAATTAGTATAAAAATCAATGATGAATGGATCAGCGTGTTGATGTTAGCAGAATTTCCGGAAAGCTACAAGCCCATGATGCTAGAAGGACTCGAGAATTCAGGTATGCCGATTACCGCGGATTCAATTAAAACTAAATTGTTGCAGGATGTAAAAAATATTCCGGACAAAACGAAGTCAACACTTACATGTAGTAAATCTTCGCCAAGTATACATCATAACAGCAAAAGGGTCTCAGATGCTTTGAGTATAACAAACATAGACATTTTGCTAAGGATTATCGCAGTAAGAAAACTAATAAACAAAATATTGACAAAAAGAAGTCTGCAAAGGAAAAAAATGATTCATCCAAATCCACTCTGTTGTGCAATACATTGTTACTTGGTGAGACAGACAAATGAATATTGATTCCGGAGCACTAAATGTGGATTGGTGGATGTCAATAAATCAAAAAATTAAGATGTCATAATAGCAGATAAAACAGTTCCAGTTGAATTCCAGTTGAAAGTCAAGGCGATGTGCATTTAAATGTCTCAATAAACGAGTCAGTTGTCATTGTCAAAATTAAGGATATTTTATACCTTCCAGATTTAGTCACGATTCTTTTGTCAGTGAACGAAATGACAAAACGAGGAAACAAGATGATCTTTGATTTAGACGGATGTAAAAATTCAATAGTCATAATTAAGTGATCGCTACTGCAGCCGTCATTGGAAATAAATACAAACTGAATCGTCCTGGAAGCAAGGATGCTTAATCAAATCAGAGAAGGACAACAATTTATGGCATCGCAGACTCGGTCGGTGAAGGAAGTCTTCAAAGGCTGATTAAAAGTATGATTTCTGGAATAAATCTAAGTAAACTTTAGACGCTGTGAAATCTGCATCAAGGATAAGCAGACGAAACTATCCTTTAAACATATTAGAAATAGAGCTAAAGAAATTCTAGAATTCAGATTTATGTGGGCCATTACAAGTAAAGTCCGTCGGAGGTGCTAAATACTTCCTAACTTTTATTGATGATTTTTCGCGGAAAGTTAACATCTATATACTTAAAAGTAAAGATGAAATTTTAAATCATTTCAAATTATTTAAGAATCTCGTTGAAAATCAACATAAAAAAAAATCAAAGCACTCAGGATTGACAACGGCATTATGTAAATGGAGCTTTTGAAATTGAAATTTTAAATGAAGTAGGTATAATTCATCAGAAATCAACATCTTATATGCCAGAACAAAATGGCAGAGAGAATGAATCATATCTTGGTTGAAAAGGCATGTTGCATGTTTGATAAAGTAGATTGGGCTCTAGTCAGTTCGAGGCAATTAATACAGCTGCATATATCATCAATCGCTCGCCATCTCGAGGTTTAAAGAATCAGACGCCAGAAGAAATTTGGACCAAATGCAAACCGAATTTAGAATGTTTGCGAATTTTTGATTCAAAAACAATGATACATGTTCCAATGCAAAAACGTCAGAAACTGGATCCTAAATCAATAGAATGCGTCATGGTTGGATATTGCGACGTCACCAAATGATATAGACTATTTAATAAGACAACTA